TGGGGGAGGGGGCAGGAGGGCATTGGGTGGGGACCCGAATCGAAATTCCTGGGGAGTCTAGCCGCTGATCCTCTTGCATCGGCTCACCTAGGGCATGAAGGTGGCGGCCCCGAGGCTGTGGTCTGCGCCCCGCCACCGCCCCGGACTCTCTGGCTGCAGACTGTACAGCCCCTTTGGGTTGTCCGTTGCAGCTCATTTTCTAGGGCCAGCTTTTAGCCTGGCTTTCCTTGCCCCGCTGGATGCACTCTGAAAACCTAGGAGAGGACCTTCTTTGGGGTCTTTACCGCTCCCCGCTTTTCGTGCGTCCCACGCAGGGCCTTCTGTCTCGCGGGTCACTGCGGGCTGGGCAGTAGGAGCCTGCGAGGACAGAGCCGAAGGGCTCCCACCTCCACCTCTGTATCTCTTTTGTCCACTCACCTTCTAGGGAGAGCTTGTCCACTACCGTGACTTTTATTACCCTCTGGGAAATGATCACTTCCACATGTAAGCCTTCCATCCAGACCTCCCACCCGAGTTCGCAGTGCGCCTCTACTTCTACCTGCACGTCCCCCGGGATACCTGAAGTCAGCAAGTCCAAGCAGAACTTATGGTCGCACCCCACCCCACCCCCAGCGCTCCTCTTCCCAAATCCCCCATTCTTGTCTCTCTTTCCCAAGCCAGACACCCTAGTGACATCACTGAGTTTGAGAAATAGCTATTCTTTTACTCCTTCAGTCACATTTCATTCAGACCAAAGGAACTTTGATAGGCAAATTTCACACGAGACATCGTTATCTACAGTAGCATCTGGTGGGATTGGAGGGCCTCAGAAAGAGCCAGTCACTGGAGGAGGACATCAGGCTTGAAAAATAGAAGGTCAGTTAGAGAGAAGAAGACCCTCAACGGAATGGATTGACTTAGTGACTACAACAGTGGGCGTGAGCGCGGCAGAGACCGAGGAGGGCACTGGGGTTGGGCCAGGTAGAGCCAACTCAGTGGCACCTAAACACGACTTAACTTCCAGGCCACCTTCCTTGTTTAAAAATAGTGGTCCCTGAAAATCTCAGCTGATAATTGAAGTAACCTATAGGGTGCATGCTTGTTCATGATGGGAACCTTGTTGCCTGGTCCCCAGGAAGCATTTCCCTGAGGCTCTATGTGCGTTGTGTGTGTCTTACACACATACACTGATGGTATTACCATGGAGTTCTTGCATGAAACTGGAGGTTTCTTCCCACTTCCCTGGCTGATAGGAACCTCTGCCTTTAAAGCATCCTCTCCTTATCCTCTTTCCTTGGCCAGGGTTATTTTCTCTTGAGAGGGATTAGAGGATTAGGAAAAGCTTGGAGGAGTTTTAGCTTTTTGTTGTCACTCTTGTTTAAAACCTTGAGTCAAGAAAGCATGAAGGAGTCAGGAGGGGGACATGTAAATGAATATTTCGGTACAAATGCTGCCATGTTGGGGACACTTGTCTTTGGTCACCAAGTTCAGGCAAGTGTCCCTGCTTAATGTCACTAGGATCCATATCCCCAGATCCTGCTCCACTTGAGGTCACCGTCATCTCTCACCTGGATTTCTGCATGGCCTCCAAAGCCATCTCACTGCTCTTAACCTCACCTCCCTGCTCTTCAGTCTCACCTGCTCACTCTTCAGTCTGGTCTCCTCGCCTCACTCCATTTATTTCTATGTTTTACCATATCCAAGCACATATCTTACCACTTCTTCCCCCAGGTGTTTTAATGCTTTAATGATGCCTCTGTTGCTGTTTCGTGCTTTTGAGTTGAGTATGACCCATAGCGAACCAATGAACAGCACATCTGAATCCTCTCCTACTGTCCTGTGCCATTCTTATCATATTTGAGCCCATTGCTACAGTCACTGTGTCAGTCCCTCTTGTCTTTCTCTCTTACATAGACCCTTCACTTTTCCAAGCATGTACTCTTTCTAAAGAATAGCCCCTCCTGGAAGCTCTGGTGCCCTAGAGGCAAGAAGCTGCACTATAATCCTGAAGGTGCAGGGTTCAAATCCACCAGATGCTCCACTAGAGAAGGCGGGGCAGTCTCCTCCTGTGCCAGTCAGATCCAATTCAATGGCATATGATAAGTAAAAAAAAAAAAAAAAAAAAAGAATAGCCCCTCCTAACTACATGACTCTACTCCGCAGGTATATTTGAGCCTGATCTTAGTTATTTCCTTACTTAACTCGTTGCCTGCAAGCTGGAACCGACTCATAGCTGACCCTCCATTGGGTAGGAGCAGCTGGTAGATTTGAACCGCGTGCCCTTGGGTTCAGCACAGCTTGCTCACCTGTGTCACCAGAGCGCCCTCATACTTCTCTAATGCTGCTATAACAGAGACCCCAAGTGGATGGCTTTAGTAATTCCATCTGTCATCTGAGATTTGTGTGTGGCTTTGTTTTTGAACAGGTTTCACCAGAATTGCCAAACTAAGAAAAACAAGGAAGAAAACTGGCAAGCTATTGAAACCCTTTGGATCACAATTGGATCCACAACCAGTTACGGGGATGCCCCAGGACTGGGCACCATATTGTTATTTTGTGCATTGGATTACAGTGAGGTGAGAGCCTGTTTAAAGGCAGCTAAGGCTTTGTTATCCAGCCTTACTTAGGGCACTAAATTCCACCCAGGGTCAGATTACCCAAAAAACAAAGTAAACATAGGTTTACTTGTGTTTATTTAGTAATCTGTAGTGAACAATTCCACATTTTCCTACCATCTCAAAGATTCTACTTCCCTCTCTCTCCTAATTACACAGCACCGTCCAACAAAATCTAAGCCTCTCCAGATTTATAATGGGGAGCTCTGGTGGCTTAGTGGTAAGAAATTGCACTGTCAATACAAAGGTACACAGTTCAAATCCACCAGCTACTCTGAGGGAGAAAGATAGGCAGTCTCCTCCTGTGACATTTTCTGCCTCTAAAAACCCATTGGACGGTCAGCTATGAGTCCATTTCATTTCAAACGTAACAACAGGGACAGAATACCCAGTATCTGCCTTTGTTCTGCTTTAAATTGTATCTCCAGTGTAGACTCTCTACTTGCCTACTTGCAATAAAAACTCAATGTCTAATTGTTATCTCAGATTTAACATATAGAAAACACAGTGCTTGTCTGCCACTCACACAAATCTTTTCCTCCTCGGAAAATAGGTCTGTTATCTCTCCATTTGTCCAAACTGTAATCCTAGGCCTCGCTCTTGTTTACTCATTTTCCTTCATCCTGGATCCCATATCCAATCCATTAGCAGGCCCTGTCAGCTCTGCTACCAAAATATGTCTTCAGTCTATTTCACTCTCTCCTCCCTTGCCACAAACTTAATTCAAGTCATCATTGATTTGTTGTCTGGATTATTGCAACAGACGCCTCACTGTCCATCCTACACATGGGAGTAAGAGTGATTTTATAAAATCTTAACTCCGATTATGTCATTCTCTTCCTTAAAATCTCCCAGCAGCTTCCCTTTGCACTTAGAATTGACTCTAGCTCTGCCTGACCTGCGTTTTGCTCACTTCCTCCACCTCACTCACTTCTTTCCAGTCACCTGCCCCCCTTTCTAATCGTACTCATCCGTCCCTGCCTCTAGGCTTATGTTGCCTCTTCTTCCCAGAGTGCTCTCTCTCTCTCTCAACATTTTGCTCATCCTTCAAGTCTCAGCTCAAATGGTGTTTTCTTTGAGGGTTCATCTTACCATCCTTTCTAAAATGGTCTGTCACAGTATCTCTCTTAATTAATCATGTTTCTTTTTGCAGCACTCTTGTCTCAATCTTTAATTATCTTGTTTATCAGAGTTTTGCTGTCTCCTGTTAAAATATAAATGTCAAAAGAGCAGAGAACTCACAGATTGATCGCTGCTATCTCTGTGGAATCAAGCCTGGGCCTGGCACACAGTCAATACTCAGTACATTTTGATGGAATTGTTGTTAGATGCCATCAAGTCAACTGAAAGTCATAGCAACTCTGTGAGCCACAGACCAGAATCTTGCCCTGTACTGTGCCATCCTCACTGTCTCTGATATCCTCGAGCCCTTTCTTAGAGCCACTAAGTCAACCCATCTTGTTGAGGGTCTTCTTCTCTTTCATTCCCCTCCTGACCCCTCCTGACAACATGCCCAAAGTATATGAGATGAAATTTTACCATCTTTGCTTTTAAGGTACACTCAGGCTGTACTTCCTCTGAGACAGATTTGCTTTTTCTTTTGGTAGTCCATGGGATATTTAGTACTCTTATCCAACACCACATCTCAAAGGCATCACTTTTTCTTCCATCATTCTTATTTATTGCATAGAAAGTGAAAGCATAGATGCATAGAAAGCAATTGAAAAGATTATGGCTTGGAGGAGCACACCTAAGTCTTTTTTATTTTTTTTTTCAAGTAAAAAGTAAAAATAAATTTGTTAGAATATATTCCTTCTAAGTAAGTCTTGTGTCCACACACATCATGGCAACTGAAGTAAAAAAAAATAAAAAATAAAAAAATTTGTTACACCGGGGAAAATTTGGGATGGGCCTTTGTTCCAGAAAGGAAGTAATGGGGGAAAACCCAAACCTTAGTCTTTAAGCTGATATTGTTGCTTTTTTAGCACTTTGGAGAGGTCTTTCACAGGAGATTTTTCCGAATTAAACACATCTTTTTTATTTTTTTGACTGATGTTACCTTGCGTGTTGATTGTAGGTGGATGCAAGTAAAATTAAATCCTTGACAACTCCAGTCTTTTATCCATTAATCATGATATTGCCTAGGAAAATAGAAAAAAGCTCACAGAATCATGGAGTCAGAACTAGGGACAGGGGCATGTCCAGAGTCTGAAGAGGTGTTGGGCCTGCACTGATGGCCGCAGTCTCACCTGAATACCCCAGGTAAGTTTTCTAATCTATACTCCTTTTCCAGGGAGCTCTGGTGTTTTAGTGGTAATGAGCATTGCTGCCAACCCAAAGGCGCATAGTTTGAATCCACTAGCTGCTTCATGATAGAAGGATGGACATTCTCCTCTCCTGTGATTTAGTGTTCTCTGACCTCTTCTAGAGGGTCAGCTCTGCATCAGTTCTGACTTGACAGTACATAAAAACAGCAATAACTTCTTTATCTGTCCTCTGTTTCCTTATAGGAAGGACATTCCCTAAGAAGGGACAGACGTGTGTGGTACACTACACAGGTAGGCCTCTCTCCCTACTCTCTCCCAGGTCACACTTTCTCCTGACAGATCTTTTGTCTGACTCTCCCTTCAGAAGTGTCTGCCGACTTAGAACCTAACACAGCCCACTCTCCTCTGACCAGATACCCTCTCACCTCTCCCTGATGCAGTGGGCAACAGTGAGCATATCGGAGATTGTGAGGATGGTGGAAGATAAGTTAAGGTTCCAAGGTGTTGTTCATAGAGTTGCTTAGTTGTGCTTAACTTGATGGTGCCTAACAACAGCTCCCTGGTGGGAATAAGAAGAAAGACTGGTAAGGTCACTTGATGTTGGAGTACAACAGCAAGGCCCTCTGTGTTGCCACTTCCCATTGATTCATGCACCCCCCTTCTCTTTTGACGTGGGCCGGTTGGCACCCTGGCCATGCTGGTCCTTTGTAAAGCTTGACCTTCCCTGAGAGACTCTCTTTTCATCCTACTGTATTACTCAAGAAGAGACATTGTCTTCCTCTTTCTCTTTTTAGAAAAATCTACCACTCACAACAGGGTTTTGTTCCAATAACTCCATCCTAAGTCAGTTCTTTTTGTAAAATTAGTTTTTATTATTATTTTTTAAAACCAGATAAAACAAAAATTTTATTTTTATAAAATTTTTTTAAAAGATAGGGATAAAAAGATAACACTGAGATAGATTTTAAAGATGATACAAGAAAACTCTCAAAGATCTTACTTCAGATAGTCCAAAACGTACATGAATCTTTTATAGTATTTTTTTATCATCATTTTCTTTATAAAATATAATGTTGGGTATCTGTGAACTGATAAAGATGACATCATGTGCAGCACCACTATGTGTAGAACATATTACTATAATAAAATGAGTCAAAAGAAACCTCTAACCACTCAGTCCTTGAGACGATTCATCATAACTTGAATACATCCTAAGTGGGGGACTACCTATATGATAGCCCACTGTGTTCGGGCACTTACTATGTGTGTGTGAGAAACCATGCTGGGCATTGAGGATACAAAAATGAAGAGGATTCCAGCCTTCACAGGGCTGAGATGTAGCAGGGGGCAGGAAGCAGGAGGCAGGGGGAATGTAAGTCTATAGGAAGCTCCCATGCTGGGTGGTTGATGGGGGTGATGTGATGGCAGTGTCTCACGATACTGTGACAGGCCAGAGGATAGCCCAGCATCTCTGCTGACCCTCATGGAGATCGGTACCTGATTGCAGGATGGCTGAGGAGCATTCTAGATGGAGTTCCTCAGAAATGCTGGCAAGAGAAACTCAAGCAGGTGTTTCTTTCATGTGGCGAGTGGGGACAGTCAAGTGTTCAGCCTTGTGACCTGCCTCCTAATGTGGCAAACTCTGTGACATCCGCTTAGCAGGCAGCAAGGCCAGTTTAATTTCTAGGACATAATCGGATGGGGCCGTTTTTAGCAGTTCTCGGGGCCAGTGTGAAGCACCAGGTTAATTCTAGGCAGACGGTGTGGATGTTTCTCAACAGCTGTGTTGCCAGTCGCTGACGTCAGTGAGCTTGAGCTGTGTTTTATCTCCTGGTGATGTGGCCTAATTACTACAAGTCCTCTGGGGCTTCTGACCCGTGTAATTGATTTATCTGTTCTACATATTACAGACAGACCAGTACTTATCCAGTTACTGAAACCATATCCTTTTGCAAAGATGTGTTACAATACATACAGACAATAGGCAATGTGCATTAAAAACTAGCATCAGGAGGGGCAATCTCCTCCTGTACCTGTCGGATCTGATTTGACGGTACACACACAAAAAATTAAAAAAAAAATAAACAAACCCCAAAAAACAAAACTAGCATCAGCTGTGACTGGCTCCAGTTTGAGGAGAAATTGTCTCCTCACACAGAGCAGGAGATTGTGTGAGACTTTAACAGTGTGCACAGTGGAGAACATAAATCTAACATATGCAGCTCAAAGCACTTTTTCAAAGGGTGCTTACTTAGGTAACCCCCAAGCACCCAATAGTTAGCATGGAGTCATTTTTTTCAGTCATGAACACACTATGTGTATCAGAGCAGGTCCATGCTTCATAGGGTTTTTGAGGATAGGTCACCAGGCCTTTCTTCTGAGGTGCCCCTCTCTCATAGCTGCTCCTCCATTCAGATTCCAAGGCTGTAAATTGCATGGGAAGAGATTGTCCATCTTTCTCCTGATGAACTACTTGTAGGCTTGAACCACCAGAGAGGCATGGCCTTTGGATTAGTGATATAACTCCATACAGACTTTTTCACCAGCTTTCCCTAGGAGCTACTTTGTTGTTGGCAGTGGTGTTAGGTGCTGTCAAGTTGACCACAACCCATAGTGACCCCATGAACAGTAAATCTGTACTCTGCCCTGTACTGTGCGAGCCCCATCATCTCCTCTAGATAGAGCCAAACCTCCAATATTTGCTTATTTAGCCTTTCATGCATGACCCAGGCACCCCAGCCACCACTCAGATCAGCAAATAAAGCATGAGCACCCTCAGAAACCTCCCTCAGCCTCGTCTAAAGGTAACCATTGTTCTGGTTCTTATCTCAATAGATGAGTTATACCTGTTGGTTACTGTAGGGTGTTTTTTTGTCACTTTGTAGACATGCAATTATTAAGTATCCACTCTAGACTATTATCTTTTGTGCTTGGTTTATTACACTCAACATTTGTCTGTGAGACTCATTTATAATAGTTCTTTTTCTAATTTCTCTGTAATATTTCATTGCATAAATATGTTATAATTAATTCATTCTTCATAGAGATGATGGACATTGGGGTTGTTTGTCATTTTGGGTTCTTATTTTTTTTTTTTTTTGCTGTACTTTAACATTTTATTTTTTTTTCTATAATTATATTTTATTAATTTTCATAAACATTTACAGAGATTTTGGGTTTCCATTCATTCACCACTGCACCATTCTCTCTACCCTCCTCCCAGTTTGTTCTTGTCCAAATGCCACAGTGCTTGTCAAAGCCAGTTCTGATTAATCTTCTTTGTCAGTGTGTCCTTTGCCATTCCCTATCACTCCTCCCTGAGAGAGACTTCACCCTGAGTCATAAGGAAAAGGGGGTGGCGTATTCTTTTAACTACTTCCTGCTGAAAAGGGATGCTGTGGGTTTCAGGGTGAAGATCTTCTCTCACTACTCTAAAGGGCCCCTTTGGCAGTAGGAAACACATAGACTATTATGGAGACTGATTTTGGAATTTAGATGCACTCTTATTGATTGTGCTTGGCCGTACATGTTCATATCCTTGAAGATGTATCATGGGGGTGTTGCAACCTAGAAGACACAAATTTGACTAACAAGTTATAAGTACATGAGTCAAAAATTATGGAAAAGTAAAAGAAAAGATTCTTTCATTGTTTTACAAACCCTTCCCCAGGTCCCCTCCACCATGTAGCCCTCGCTCTAGTCTCCTGTGCTGACAGAAATACCTAGTTATATATCTCTTTTAAACAGTTTTCTCCCTCCTCTGTTTCAGTGCAGTATACATTATTGAACCCATCTTACTCAGTCTCTCCCCAACCCCAAGGACAGTCCCATTCTACAACAGTGGCATCATGTAATATTTGTCCTTTTGTGACTGGGATATTTCACTCAGCATAATATTCTCCAGAGTCAACCATTTTGAATAATATTGCATGAGTTCCTTGTTTTTTAATGCAGCATAGTATTCCATTGTGCGAATATACCACAGCTTCTCTAGCCATTCGTTTGTTGATGGGCACTTAAGTTGTTTCCAACTCCTTGCTATTGTGAACAAAGCTGCAATAAACATGGGTGTGCATATATCTGCTTGGATGTCAGCTATGGTCTCTTCAGGGTATATTCCTAGTAGTGGAATTGCTGGGTCAAATGGTATCTCTATTTGCAACTTTTTGAGAAAGCGCCATACTGCTTTCCACAGGGGTTGCACCATTTTACACTCCCACCAACAGTGAATCAGGGTTCATTTTGGGTTCTTATAAATCAGGGTTGCATAGTCTTGTCGATGTCTTCTGCTATAGTTATCTAGTGCTGCTGTAACAGAGCAAGTGGGTGGCTTTAACAAACAGAAATTTATTCTTTTCCCATTTCGGAGCCAGGAAGTCCACAATGAGGGTGCCAGCTCTAGAAACTTTCCTCTTTTTTGTCAGTTCTGGAGGAAAGTCCTTGTTTCCTTTAGCACCTGTAGGCCCAATGTTCTTTCTTTGAAGATTTTTGTTATTTTTTCTGATTTCAAGGAGCTTTCCAGTGCAGGGAGCTGGGCCCAAGGGATGCATTTCATTTCTGGTAATTCTTTCTTGATGGTATCAAGGTCCCTTTCTATGTTCATTTTTTCTTTAATTATCTCTCCAGGGTAAAGTGTATTACTGGGCACACAGCAGGTAAACGCCCCTTATATCAGATCAGGACTGTAATGGAATTAAGGATGTTGCATGCCAAAAAAAAAAAAAAGAATGTTACATGCCATCCTTAATCATATTACAGCTGTGCAGCTTATCAGATGATAAGGTATCATTACAAAACTTCCACATTACATACAAATCATTTTTGGGTGCAGTTAATATATGGCATATGAGCATATATGTACATGTTTCTGTTGGTTCTATATCCACAGTAGATTGCATGGTATAGATGAGGTGTGTGCTTTAGCAGATACTACCAAACTACCAAAACAAAGTAATTGTGCCAATTGGCAAACTACTACCACAAGAGTATGAGAGTTCCAGTTAGTCCACATCCTCATCAACATTTGACATTGTCAGGTTTTTGTTTGGGTTTGGTTTTCGGCCTGGTGGATGCCCAGTGGTAACTCATTGTGATTTTAAAAAAAACTTTTATTTTATATTAGTTTGCTTATGAAATTTGTAAACATTGTTTCATACTATTCTTCATCCACGTGTGTTTCATACAATCATTTCCATTCATTATATTCTATAAAATTAATCACTATAAGACCGTGCCCACCGTTACTCAGTCTTTTCAAGTCTCTCCCGGATCTCATCACGATTTTTTATTTTCATTTTCTTGATGACTAATAAAACTAAGCACCTTTTTATATGCTTACTCACTTATTGCTATCAAGTCAAATAGCTGATCCTCCAGTGACTTTTTCCGAGGTTTAAAATCACACAGGAGAAGAATGTCCTTCTTTCTCTCATGTACTCACTGGTGGATTTGAACCAACAGGGAGATGTTGCCTTTTGGTGAATATCTTTTTTTTTTTCTATACAAAATTTGTCTGTTTAAAAGATTATGTTGTCTATCTTTTTGTTTTCTTTAAATTTTATTTTGTTGTTGAGGATATATACAGCAAATCACAGACTAATTCAGTAATTTCTAAACATACTATTTAGTGACAGTGATTACATTCTGTGAGTTGTACAACCATTTTCACCCTCCTTTTCTGAATTGTTTCTTCATTAATATAAACTCACTACCTCTAAAGCAGCTTTTTTCTATCACATCCTGTATACATAGATTTTTTTTTCCCCTTTTTCTTCCTCCCCCACCCCCCTTTGGCGTGTACTGTCAAGTCGAATCCAACTGGCACAGGAAAAGATTGCCCCTCCTTCTCCAGCAGAGCATCTGGTGGATTTGAACTGTGTGCCTTTGGGATTGCAGGGCAGCTTCTTGCTCCTAGGCCACCAGAGCTCTCCTGTATTTATAGTTTTTAAGAGAGTATAATTCTCAAGGCAGACCTTTTTTACTAGTTAAACTAAACTATGATATTGTTTATTTTAATGAAACTTCATGGATTATTTTTAGTTAAAAGTCTAAAAATTATTTCTGGACAATAGTTGGGGGGTGTTCATCTACCTAGCATGGCTCTAGAAATCCTGTATTCTATGAGAATTTGCAATTTTTTTCTTCATTTCCCCCCCCTTTAATCAGACTTCTAGGGAATTTTTGATCAAAATGTTCAGTAATGGTATCTTCATACAATGCAGTTCTTGTCTTACGGCAAAGGAGGCAGTTACTCATGGAGACAATTAATTATATGTTCTATATCCTCCTCTTATTCTTGACTCTCTTTCCTCTGCTTGCAGGCTTTTAAGGCCCTGGGCACTATGTAAGAATTGTTGGGTGCTGTTGAGTTCACTATGATTCATAGAAACCTTATTAACAATGAATCTGAACTTTGTGCAATCCTATGTCCTCCTCCGCATCCCTGATAGACTCATTGCTGCATTATGTCAATCCATCATGTTGAGGGTCTTCCTCTACTTTGCAGACCCTCCATCTTTCCAAGCATGATGTCCTTTTTTAAGGACTAGTACCTCCTAACAGCATGCCCAAAATATGTGAGACAAAGCTTTACCATCCTTGCCTCTAAAGAGCACATGGTTGAACTTTTTTTTTTACTTTGGAAGCTCATGGGATATTCAGTATTCTTTTTGAATACCACAACACAAAGATGTTGTTTCTTCTGTCATTTCATTCGTATCTATTGTCCAACTTTCAGAAAATCAATTAGATACATAGCAAGTAATTGAAAAGCCCATGACTTGAATCAAGTGCAACTTGGTCTTTGAACTGACATCATTGTTCCTCAGCACCTTGGAGAGGTCCTCGACAGATTTTCCCTAAGAAACATGTCTTTTAATTTCTTGAGTGCTGGTGTTGATTGTGGATACAATAAGATGAAATTGATGACAACTTCTGTCTTTTCTTCATCTATCATAATGTTGCCTATTGACCCAGTGGTGAGGCTCAGTGTTTTCTTGATGTAATCTATATTAAAGCCTGTAGTCTTGGACTTCTGCAGCAAGTGCTCCAAGTCTTCTTCACTTTCAGCAAGCAAAATTCTATCATCTGCATATGGCAGGCTGTTGGTGAGTCTTCCTCTGACCCTGATGCCACAATCTTCTTCATAAAGTCCAGCTTTTCAAATTATTTCCTCAGTATATGGATTGAATAGGTGTGGAGAAAAAATACAGCTCTGATACACTCCTTTCTTGATTTTAAATTAGACAGTGTTCCCTTGCTCTATTTGAACAACAGTTTCTTGGTCTAGGTTTCACATGAGCACAATTAAATGTTCTGAGGTTCCCATTCTTCTCAATGTTGGTCATAATTTGTTGCAATTCATGTACTCAAATGCCTTTGCCTGGTCAATAAAACAGTATAGGCAGCCTTCTGATATTCTCTGTTTTCAGCTAGGATCCATCTGACATCAGCAATGATATCTCTGGTGCTGCAGCCTCTAAATTCAGCTTGAATTCCTCTGCTGACATAACCATTTTTTAAAAGTAATCTTCAGCAAGATTTTACTTGTATGTGATATTAATGATATTATTTGATAATTTTCGCATTCTGTTGGATAATTTCTTTTGGGAATGGGAACAAATGTGGACCTCTTCTAGTCAGTTGACTAGGTAGCTGTCTTCTAAATTTATTGTCACAGACTGGTGCGCATGTCCAGGCTGCATCTGTTCATTGAAAAGCTTTAGTTGGTATACCATCAATTCTTGGGGCCCTATGTTTTGCCAGTGCCTTCAGTGAAACTTGAACTTCTTTTTTTCATTACCATTGGTTCTTGATTATATGCTACTTCCTGAAATGGTTCTGGTCAGTCAGTTCTTTTTGGTACAGTAACTTAATACTTCCTGTGTCACTCAAAATTGTAAGAATTAGAAGTTATAATCTTTTATTATTCAGTTAACAGAGTTTCTTATTGGATAAATTCTTTTATTCATTATATCTATTCCAAATATGTTCCATATGTGACTTTCATTTTTCACTCTCTTAATTATGTCTCCTGAGCAGAAGTTCTCAATTTTGAATGAAGTAAAATTCAGTAATATTTTCCTTTGTGGTTAATACTTTATGGATCTTGGAGAGCTCTGGTGGTCTAGTGTGTAACGAGTTGCACTGCCAACCCAAAGGAAGGCAGTTCGAATCCTTCAGCCACTCTTCAGAAGAAAGACAAAGTAGACTACTTATGTAAAGATTTACATCCTCTGAAACCTCAGAGGGCACGTCTACCCAACAGGGAAATTTGGAGTTGGAACTAACTTGATGGTAGTGAATTTTAGTATTGATTTCAGTAAAAAAAAGAATACTCCTTATTATTTAGGTCTACGGTTAATCTAGAATTGACTTTTCTGTATAGATGAGATAGACATCAAAGTTCATTTTTATGCCCTGTATGAGATATAATTGATCCGGTAATTTTCATTTTAAAAACAGTATAAAGCTTCCTTTATCCACTACATGGCAACAGAACAGTGGTCAAATCAGCATTTCTTTGTGCAATTCGTGGGATTCTCACTGAATTTACAACAATCAATAACTAAATGGATTAAAATAAATGGAAGTCACACGAAACATGAAGGAATTAGGGAATGAGAAAGTCCACGATTAAGTATGAATATTTGTGTATGATATAAATAAGCATTTTTAGAAAGTACTTGTCTACCTGTGTGTATGTGTGCGTGTTTGTATCTGTGCTTCATCTAAATATTATCTTAAAAAAATTACCTTAGTATCTGTTTGGCCATCTCAGTTTCTTCTTCTCTGTATGTGCGCATAAGTGCATGTGAGCATGCACAATTACATCTTGTTATTAAATAGCAGCCTGTGTGTATATACTAGTTTGTATTTATCTCCTTAGCATCCATCTGTGTGTTTCTTTGTGCAGTCCTTTGCTTTATTTACTACGCAGGGCAAGAGCACAATTTATTCTACCCAGAAAGTAGGTAAATAATACTGTTTCTCTTGGTACATGTTTAAGCTGTGGTAATTAGGAGTGGAGTCTAGATGTTCAGATCTAGGCTGGTCCTGTCCATATTTTAAAGGTAAATCTGAGGCCCTGAGGGAGGAAGTGACTTCTCTACAGTCATATAGTGAGTTAGTCCCAGAGTGAAGTCAGAACCAATCTTTGGAATTACATGTCAGGTCTTCTTTTGATGCCAGATTGCCTTTTGTGTGGTGCAGGGGCTGCAAGAAGTTGCAGAATAATCACCATTTTACAAAAGGCCAGGGTCACTGCTAAGAACTGAAATGGAAAATCAGCTCTTGTTCCTTGAACAACTGAGCTGAGAAAACATGGTGTACCTCAGGAACTGCAAAATGGGAGAAGCTCCGAGCTGCTGGAGGCAGCCCTTGAAGTATTATGGTTTAAAACAACCTTGTCTGTGTGGGGTCTGGAGACCAACACTGACCAATTGAATCACCTGATTCACTGAGAGAAGCGGACTTTCTGTTTTGGTATGTTCCCCGAGGAGCCAGATGTATGATTTATACCTGATTCTGAAAGGCCTGGGAAGACAGAATTTTAACAGAGGAAGTGGTGCACGCACACACATAATTGTACGGAGGCTTTTGAAAAATGTGTGATGTGAGTAGGACACAGGGAAAGACAAGGAAGTGGAGAAAGCAAAATGAGGGCTTCCAGGCAGGTGACAGCATTTTGTGCAGTGTAGGCATTTGGATTCTGCCAAAGAGAGTTGTTAGAATGGCTTCAAGTGCGGGGTAATGCAATCAAATTGTGTTTTTAAACTCTCTCGCCGAGAATAGTGTGGAGAACGAAAGAGAGTCTAGAGCAGGGAGACCAGTTAGGAGTGTTTGCTGTCAACAAGTGAGAAATCATGGTGACATGAGGAGACAACAGGGTATGGTGATAGAAATGGGGAAGATAAGTGGATTTGAAAGATAGAGGGCTTGGTGACGGGCTGAATATGGGGGTTAGGCAGAGAGGAGTTCAACAGAAGGTCTGGGTGGTTTGCTTTGGCAACAAGACCAACGGGCAGGATTGGGAGCAGAGCAGGTTTATCCAGAATTCTATTTTGGCCTTGTTGAATCTGAACTGGGAGTTAACCCATGACCATAACTCTTCTCCATCCTATTGCTTTGGCAGGAATGCTCCAAAATGGGAAGAAATTTGATTCATCCAGAGACAGAAACAAACCTTTCAAGTTCAGAATTGGCAAACAGGAAGTCATCAAGGGTTTTGAAGAGGGTGCAGCCCAGGTAGGAGGAGGAGTCATGTTAAAGGGGATTTAAGGTGTCAGGGTTCGGGGCTCAGCACTCTGCCCTTCACCCCTCAGCTTCATCCCACTACAGGTCACTGTAATAGTGAGCCTGGTGAAGAGCTCTGTCTTCGTGTCCCATTGCTTTCACTGCCAGCATGTCCTCCTTTGGGGCTCTCATTCCAAGCATATTCCCCCCCACTCCCACCCCCAGGCTTGCTTGGAATCAGCTAAGGAGGCCTGTGAGACACCAGCTGTCTAGGACTGAGTCAACGGAAGAGGTGGGGTGGGGTAGGACAAGGAAAGGTGGTTGGGGTTTTATTTTTACTTTTTCTTTTGAAATAATTTCATTTGTAAAAACCACTACAAAAACAGTACAGAGATCTTCACCCAGCTTCCCCAAAAGTTAACATCATTCATAACTGTAATGCATTGATCATAACTGGAAAAACAACATAGACACAATACTATTAAGTAAATGACAGACCTCATTCTACCATTTGTCCCACTAATGCCAAATGGGTTCTTGATTACCAAGGCTGTGATGAGCCCTGGTTCAGGTTCTTCTCTGAATTCATTTTGTCCTGTGAAGTCATTTGAGGAGGCCTCTAATCCTCCCACCACGTGTGGCCTCTGATCTCTAACCTCTTTGATGGGCTCTGCCTCTCACCTATTTAGGTATGTGCATGTGCTCTGATGCACCCTCTTTAGACTTCCATGGGAGAATGAGGAACAACTCTCTCATTCTTGGGAGAATGAACAAATAGATACATTTGAGTCATACACCAACTGCATAACCAGAAGTGTGTTGGATGAATTTTGAGACGACTTTGTGGAAGTTATGGTTCCACGTAATCAAATCTGTTATTTTGAGGCACAACCTGTGCATCTGTTACACATCTTAGCAGCTTCAACAAGCCACCTGTGAGATTAGTGTCAGACGTGCAGAGTTGCCATGAGGGTAGTGTGGGAAAATGCCATAGTTACCTTACTTTTCTCTTTTTAAATCAAGCTGGGTCCTCTCTCTCCTCTCCCCATCTGCCCCCATCCCTGCTAGATGAGCTTGGGGCAGAGGGCGAAGCTGACCTGCACCCCTGATGTAGCATACGGAGCCACAGGCCACCCTGGTGTCATCCCTCCCAATGCCACCCTCATCTTTGACGTGGAGCTGCTCAACTTAGAGTGAAGGCAGGAACTCAAGGTGGCTGGAGATGGCTGCTGCTCACCCTCCCAGCCTGCCCTGCCACTGGGACGGCTCCTCCTGTCCGGGGCTCTTGACCAGTGTGAGCTGACCCCACTGCCTCACACCATTATCCATCCTCTCTGCCCAAGTTGCTCTGTATGTGTTTGTCATTGTTTACACGCATCTTTGCTTGAGGAAACTTCAGTTGCGGATTGACAACATTCCAGGTTGTGCATTTTCCGTGATGCATGTAGTAGCCATTCCTGATCACAGAACTTGTTCGCACAATCGACACTGCCTTACCTTCACTTAAGCCAGACACACAAGGTGCTCAGACATGAAAATGTACGTAGTGTACACAGAGGGACTTGAGCCAGTTACCTTTGTTGTCACTTGTAAGTTCTGTTTGCTGCTAACTTAAATGTCCTATTCGGAAATAGTATATAAAATAAAGGCTATGTGCTTGACAAACTCCTGTGTATCCTTGTAAGTCGAACATGCTTTAAGGAAGACAGAAGCCTTTGTCCTTGTGGGGAAAGGTATGGAAAGAAGTGGCCACACTGCATTGGTAGCTGCAATGGGAACATTGCACATGTTGTGCTTTGTTCAATGTACATTTTTTTTAATAACAGAAAATATTTTAGGTTTTTGTCATTGTTGCACATTTTCTTCCCCCTTCCCCTCTTCCTTCCTCCCTGCAATTTATCCCTTGTTGTCATACATGTATTAATATACTTCTACTTTTTCACATTTGTAAATGCAGCCCTCTGGTGGCACAGTGTATTGTTATTATGCTGCTAACCAAATGGTCAGCAGTTGGAATCCAGGAGCTGCTCCTCCAGTACATTTACAGCTTTGAAAACCTGGTGGAGGAGGGTCACTGAGTCAGAACTGACTCTGAGGCAGCAGACTGGGTTAAGGACACACATTATAAAAATTAGTATTTAGTTCATGAAAACCTTCACAAGAAAAAAAATAATTCCAGCTCTGACCCCATTCTCCTTCCTAGAAGTGAATTTCTACTTCCTTGAAGTGCTTCTGAAAACCATTTAGCCTTCTCAATTGCTGTGTAAACCGCCAAAAATACTCCCAAAATAGTACTTTAAAAAACCCCAAAATCTGCTCATATAAAGAAAACAATTACTTGTTTATGTTTTGAGAAGATAGTACAAAAGATAATCTATTTTCTTAAACTAATGATAGATTTCAAAGTTAAGTCTATCTAATAGCAAAACAGATGCTCTTTGTCCATTTAAATGATTCAGAGTATGGACGCATCAAATGGATTTGGGGTTATAGTTATGAACAAAGCAGTAAGTGTGTCTTCCATTTGGCCTATGACTAAACTACAAAAATGAAAGAATGGTTCTCTCTCCAAACTGCCAATTATGGTCAAAGATGGTAATCACTGTATGTCCACATTATGGAAGTCAATGATTACAAGAGTAAACATTAGGTGTTTTTGTCAAATAAAAGACATTAAAGTAAAATATAAACAGTTAATAAAAAGGCTACACAAATACCTTAGACATAATACCAAACAATAGAGCTTGCTCCTAGATTTGTAACTGTGTTATCAACTCAATGGCCATTTCTGAAACAGGCCTCTGTTCTAGGAAAAACCATTTGCTGTCAGGTGGATTTCTAGGCACAGCAAGCCTGTGTGTCAGGTCAGGGCAAAGCTGAACTCCATAGGTTTTTTCATTGGCCTATTGACAAGGCCTTCCTCCTCTGGTGTCTCTGGGTAGACATGAACCTCCAACTCTCCAGTAATCAGTAAACGGTATTAACCACTTCAACTACCCACAAATTCCCTTCTAAGAACAACCCATTTCCATTAAATTGGACAACTCACAACAACCTCTCAGAACAGAGTGGACAGAACTGCCCAACGTTTCCAAAGTTAAGCATCTTTACCGAAGCAGCCAGGCACATTTTTCTCCCGTGGAGTGAATAGTGGGTTCAGACTGCTGACCTTGTGGTTTAGACTGAATGCTGAGCTGCACCGCCAGGGATCCTATTCTAAGAACAAGGGTTTCCATATTCACAAAGGTTAACTGGAAAATAGGTATTACTCTAATTAATTATTAGCACAATAATTATTTCATGTAAGTATTTATACAACCAGCATAATTAACTCGTTTCTTTATTTGCTGTAACCTTCTAATAGAGTTATTAACAAGATTTCATTATAAGTAACATTCAGTAAATAATTACACTATGAGAAGCTATTTGCTAAGTAGGTATTAGGTAGATATTATAGGCATTTAGGGGAGCAATTGCTGGATATTCTTGGTATGGTTTGACTGGTTTTTACCTTGTAACAAATAAGAGGACAACAATGACATGTTTTACAAAAAGCTACAATTTATTTATTAACATATTTAATAATGTAGCAATGTTTTAAGCAGGTAATCATGAATATCAGATACAAAAATCACAATATTTAGTATTAATTATAAACAAAAAAAAGGTGGTGGCAGCAGAGATTCAAGGGTTTCAGTCCAAAATGTAAATGAAGAAAACAATGTTTATTTTGGTGGATCTGTGTTGATGCCATATTTCTCCTTCAGAAGCTTCAACTGTTCCTCCTTCTTCTTTGTGTCCATCTTCTGAAATGCCTAAAATGGTAAGCAAAATTAATGGTTAATGATCTACAACCAAAAGAATTTAAGAATTTCATTAATTACAGAAGCCAGGAGGGGATTACAAAAATAATTTTAAAACAAAATGGATAGTACACATTTCCCATCATGGTTCTACAAGAATTCTCAAATGGGCTCACTATTTGACAAGACTCTTAGACAAGACTGTACTTACCCTGTTGGCATTATAGTATAAAACCACAAGGTATCTGTTACAAACATTGAATCCCGACAGGTGATCACATGCATTCTTGGCATCAAAGATGTCTTCATAGACCACATAAGCTGTTCCTCTAGTTTCAGGTGTATTCCCCCTGTAGTTAAATAGGACTTCATTAAATGATACAGTAACCCAAGCACTTGCATCTAAATAAAATAACTGTCTTTTAAAACCACTAGCTACACTATAGCAGAATTAATATGTTCAGAACCACCTAAAAAGTGTAAGAGGAAATAAACATGTAGATTGATATGAGGCTGGATTGACAGTGGCTGGATAAGCCTCTAGTTTCTTGAATTAGGGGATTTTTATTTTCAGTAAAATGCTTAAAGGTTAAACTCTATTTTTCATCAGGAACACAGCTATTAAAAAAGCACCAGCTCACAAAGGTGATCAAAACAAAAGATGATCTAAACAAGAGCTGTTAAAAAAAAAAAAAGCACCAGCAGCAAGCTAAAATCTACCATAAACCATGTCAGTCTATAAATTTACTGTTGAGTCCTTATTTCTTATACTAAGATCTAGTCTCAAGCTTGAAAAGGCATAGTTCTAAAGTGGAATACTCTTTGAAAGTTTTCATTATTACTGCCTTTTATTATCATCATCAGTACTTTTGTAGTTTGTTCTTTTTTAAAAATTTTTTTATTATATTGTGTGTGTGTGTGTGTGTACCATTAAATCAGATCTGACTGTTACAGGAGGAGACTGTCCCTCCTTCTCCAGCAGAGCATCTGGTGGATTTGAACCACTAATCTCTGGAATTGCAGTGCATCTTCTTGTCACTAGGCCACCAGAGCTCTTGTCTCATCAGTACCTTTGTAAATTCAATTTCTGTTTTTGCACGTTAGAAACATTCATATAAGCTTATTAGATATATTTAAATATGTAATACATAGACAAAAATATACAAACCACTTTTTAAAACATGGAAACTTAATTCCCAATAAACTGAATGAGTTGTATTGTACAGATTACCTGTACTTAGAAGTAACAGCTTTTTTTTTTAGAAGTAACAGCTTTTATTAACTGTTGATGTTTAGAATGAGGTTTCTTTTTGTGCATTTTATTCAATAATATTGAAATGATTATCATGCTGTTGTTACCTAAAACTAGTCCACTGTTTCTGAAGATACTTTCTCCCTCTAATTTAGTGAAAGCTTAATTCATAAGAGATAAAATAATCTTCATCCTTTATGACCTAAAGGATGTCCTCCAATGTAGAGGATAAGTTCTTCACAAAAATTTTTTTTAAAAAAAATGGAATGTAACAACAACTATGAGATATCATCTCACCCCAGTAAGAATAGCAAAATTTAACAGAACAGCAAACATTAAATGCTGGCGAGGTTGTGGAGAAACTAGAACCCTTAGTCACTGTTGGTGGGAGTGTAAAATGGTGCAACCACTATGGAAGGCTGTATGGCGCTTTCTCAAAAAGCTGCAAATAGAGATACCATTTGACCCAGCAATTCCACTACTGGGAATTTACCCTAAAGAAAGCATAACCACCACTCAAGCAGATATATGCACACCCATGTTTATTGCAGCTTTGTTTGCAATAGCAAAGAGCTGGAAACAACCCATGTGCCCATTAACAAATTAATGGTTAGAGAAGCTCTGGTATATTCACACAATGGAATACTATGCAGCATTGAAAAACAAGGAACTCATGAAATATTATGCAAAATGGATGACCATGAAATATCTGTCACAAAAGGACAAATATTGTATAGGGCCACTGTTGTAAAACGGGACTGACATTGGGGTTGAGGAAAGACCAAGAAGGAGGGGCGGAATGATGTACATTGCATTGAAACAGATAAGGGAGAGAACTGCTTAAAAGGGATATATGATTGGGTATTACTGTCATGACAGGAGTCCAGAATGAAGGCTGCACAGTGGAGTAGACTTGGTGGGAGGGATTTCATAATAACGAAAGAGATTTTCTTTTGCTTTTCAAGGAGAAGAGTGGATTGGGGGGAGGAGAAAAGTACAACAATGAATGATTTGAAACCCTAAATCTCTGTAAATTTTTATTAAAATTAATTTTTAAAAAATGGAATATAGTCCCCCACCCCCCACCCCTGACAATTCATTTGAAATAAAATCTGCCCTCGTATGTATCACATAGTCCTGTTTGGCTGGGGAAAGGGCTGATTTCTGCTACATGGGAAAGAGTTATCTGTGACCCAGACAGAATTCTGGAAGATAGCTGCAGTGGGAGCTGGGCTTTGCTCACAGGCATGAAGATGTTTCTTTCCATCTCCTATCCTCAGCTCATCAGCTTCCACTGAGGGGGAAGTATTAGCAGAGTATGCAACAGCATTAAATTTCAGGCAGCAAAATGGTCTAGGGCTTGTTTCAAGGGACAATGGGCTGAGATCTCACTCAGCTTTAGTGTGGTCAGAACAGATCCCTTGCCTCTACCTGTGTCTGGCTATCCAATGCAAAGGAGGGATGAGACTGAGCTTGACTCTCCCTTGAAGACTAGTCACAGCTGGTGCATGCGGACATGGACGGACAGGGAGAGGGTGCCCAGGGCGGTTGGAGGATGTCGGCATCAGTTAATGTTCTGAAAGCTGCCTGGCCATGATGGAGGATTTTATATTCTTTATCCTTTGGAAATAGTCTATCACCTTTCAAACTTTTGACTTTAAATAATTTTTAAGTATATGGAAGTTGGAGGCTGTCTTAAAGAAAAAAAGAATTGCCCCAAAGATTTTTCCAAATATACAATCTAGTTTTTCCTTTGAAATGAAAATAAAGTAAAAAATAAGATCTTAAATTCCTTAAGGGGAAATATGGTTGTATATTTAACTCCTTCAGTGTCAAGCATACAAGTACTTATAAGCATTTGAAATGTGAAGATCTGCTTCCTGTCAGTTCTCTCACACATCTTTTCTCTAGGAAGCTAAAATAACAATAAAACTTTTCCTTTAAAACAATCTTTTTTCAATTTCACTCAGAATAGTGACATTTCTTTTTTTTTTTTATAATTTCTCAATCCATTCTTTTTTTTTTATTTTATTATTTTTGTGTGCGTGTACCATCAAATCAGATCTGACTGGTACAGAAGGAGACTGCCCCTCCTTCCCAGGCAGAGCATCTGGTGGATTCGAACCATGCACCTCTGGGATTGTAGTTGCAGCTTCTTGCCACTAGGCCACCAGAGCTCCCCAGAATAGTGACATTTCTGAGACAGGGCAGTATCTCTTAGTAATGAAAATAAACTACACACACATACTCAGGATGATGGGGGGGGTGGGGGGGTGGAGCCCCAAGACAATTTGACAACATTGTTCTTTCCTCTTCATAGTTAGCTTTCATTTTCAGGTGGCATAGTTGGTAGTCACACTGCTCACCCAAAGGTAGCACCTTTCTGGTGGTCTGAACCCACCGGCCACTCTATAAAAATAGTTTACCCCCTCCTATATGATACACAGCCTCCAAAATGCTGAAGGTCTACTATGGGTTGGTTTCAACTTGATGGTGATGAGGCTGAGTTGTGAGTAGTCAATGTGGCTTTTAAAATCCTCTCCCTAGTGCACTGCTGTGACTTGCTGTCTATTATTCGCATTTTGTTATTTGGAGGGTAGGTGGGAGAAAGCTTTGTTAATAGAAATCAGCATCCTAATTTCTTTTTAAACCTGGAGAGAAAATATGATGATGCCTGAAAATATAGTCAAGTGTCAAATATAAACGTATAAAAACCTTGCTGCTCTGTCTACCATATCACACTGATTTTATATTTGCTTGCAATGTTAAAGGGTGGTTTTTTGCTTGTTTGTCTGTATAAACTCTAACTGCTATCAAGGTGTCATTGAATTTTTTTTAAATTTATCTTTTATTAATAGGTGTCATTGATTTTTAAAATTAGTATTTCAATACATATGTCTCAACACTGGTTAACTAATTTTTACAAGAACTGTTATTAATCAAGCAAAGAAACCATTTAGGTGAGAGTGAACCCTCACATTCTTTCTCCCTTTTAAAACTTCTTGGGAAATAGATTATGTATTGGCACAAACCATGTTTTATTAGACTCCCTCTCTCATGTCTCAACCCCTAATTATCAACCTCATATCTTGAGAACACTATAATTTAAATAAAGCATGTATTTGGTACCTACTATGTGTTAGGCACTGAACCAACATTATTTTCTTAATGGGTGGTAAACTCACAAATAGGAATAAAAGTCAATCTTCTCTGGGCATCATTATTTCATGTTAACTACAGCAGGTGATAGACTGTATTTCCAAGCAATATACATTATATTGGACTACATCACCTCCCCTACCTACAGGTGGTCTTAATAAGCAAAGGAGGTAATAAAGTGTGGCAAGGCTTTAAGCCCCGAATCCCTGTGAATGTTCATTGAAACAAATAAAATTTAATTAAAAAAAAAAAAGTTGCAAAGCATTAAGCATCTGCTATATTCCGGGGTGGCCTGGGGACTGTCTCGTTTTGCCTCACAAAAAGTCCTAAATCCTAGAAGAAAAAGACACCTCCTGCCTGGTCTTTAGCCAACTGAGAAAGGTAGTCACCTTAGTGCAAGGTGCAGAGTATGTGATAAAGCTCTATAATTATGGAACAGAAAAACAGGCACTCCTCAACCAGTAATTCAGACCCAGGTTCCTGCACGCCAATATTACAGAGAAATGTTTTTTTCTGTGTACGAAGAACTGGAACTACATCCTCCCCTTCTATGAGTTTATAAACAAACAAACAAAATAAATGAGAAGTCTAACATGGTAGAATGCTGTGACAAACTAATGAGGGAGATGGGAACTACTTTAGCTAGGTGGCCAGGGAAATTTTCTGGAAAGTGAAAAATGAATTGGAGCCAGAAATGAGATGAGCAAAGTGGAAGTCATTCCAAACGGAGGGATCAGCACATTCAAAGTCCCAAGCAACTCTGCAATCTTTTGAAGTTCTCATGTCACTGATTTAAGCATCTCTTAATTCAATCATCAATGAAGTTAGTTAATACTCTCATAATTTAATCACAACTATAAATCTATTTTCAATCTATCTTTACAAACCTGTGGCCATAAGTTGATTCTCACTCATGGGGATCCTATGACCAAACAGCACTGGCCTATATAGAGTTTCTACTGCAGAGCTCCTGGTAAACTTAAAATGCTCCTTTTCCCCCCTGTGTATTATTCATTTATGTAAGGAACTCTGGTTAACAAAAGGATGACTTTATCAGGCTGCTAAATGAAAGGTCAGAAGTTCTACTCCACCAGCTGCTGTGTAAGACAAAGAAGATATAAAGCCTCCTGTGAAGATATGCCTCAGACAATAGAAGACTGCTATGAACTGGAACTGATGGCTATAGATTTGATTTTGAGTCACTTAAGTATAACCATGTTTTAGTCACAAGGGCCGACAACACAAAGCTAAAAGGATATACGAATCTGCACTAGTAGAGTTTATAGGCTGACAGGGTACACAAACAACAAAACCACCTGTTAATTAATAAGAGATGCACATAGAAGATATTGTATTGGGAAAATCTGTTGCAAAGGACCTCATTAAAGCGTCTGAGGACTAAGGTGCACCTGATCCAAGTCATGGTATTTTCAATCTCCTTATATACACCTGAAAACTGGACAATAAAGAGGACTAAAGAAAAATCGACATCCTTGAATTATGGTGCTGGCAAAAAATACTGAATATACCAGGAACTCTGAAAGGAACAAACATCTATCTGTCTTGGGAGAAATGCAGTCAGAACGCTCTGCAGAAGTGAGGATGACGAGACTTTATCTTGCTTATTTGCCAGTTAAGAGGGACCAGTCCCTAGAGAGGAACACTGATTGGTAAGAGGGTCGGTAGGAAAAAAAATGCCCCTCAGCAAGATGAACTGACAAAGTGTCCCCACAAATGGGCTCCAACAGCAACTGTGAGTATGCTGCAGGACTGGGCAATGCTGCACTCTGTTGTACACATGCCAAGTATGAGCTGGAACCACCTGCCAGCACCTAGCAACAATGTGACAGCAGAAAAGACTATAGCTAACCCAAGATGAGGAAGCAATACAGTTGGCTCTTTCGCAACTTAGGGGTTCCAAGGGCATCTCCTTTCCCAAAATTCAAAAACCTCTGTTGTTAGTTGTTATGTGCCGTCGAGTCGCCTGCGACTCATAGCGACCCTGTGTACAACAGCCCTAAACTCCGCTCTGTCCTGTGCCAATCGCACTGTCTCTGACACTCCCATCCCAATTATCCCAGTCACTGAATCAATCCACCTCACAGAGGGCCTTCCTCTCCTGCACTGTCCCTCCACCCTCCCAAGCATGATGTCCCTCTCTAAGGACCGGTCTCTCCTCACAACATGTCCAAAGTATGTTAGACGGAGCCTCAGAATCCTTGCCTCCAAGGAGCCACCCGGTTTAACCCTTTCCAGGACAAATCTGTTTGTTTTCCTAGCAGTCCATGGTATTCTCAATACTCTTCTCCAGCACCACAGCTCAAAGGCATCAATTCTCCTTCTATCCTCCTTGGTCATTGTCCAACTCTCTGATGCATAACAAGTGATTGTGTAGACCATGGCCTGTATCAAATGCACCTTAGTCTCCAAAGAGATACCAATGCTCTTCAGCACTTTGGAGAGGTCCCTAACAGCAGACTTTCCCATGGCAATGCGCCTTTTAATTTCCTGGCTGCTGGTGCCAGGACTGTTGACTGTGGAGCCAAGCAAACTAAAGCTGTGTACAATCTCAATCTCTTCACCATCCATCCTGATGCTGCCAATTGGTCCAGTGGTGAGAATCTTTGTCTTCTTGACATTGAGCCTCAATCCATATTGGAGGCTGCAGTCCTTGACACTCTGCAGCAGGCACTTCAGGTCCTCTTCAGTTTCAGCAAGCAGGGTTGTGTCATCTGCGTAACGCAGATTGTTGATAAATTGTCCACCAATCTTGACCCCACATTTCTCCTCATAGAGCCCAGCCTCCCGGATAATCTGTTCTGCATATAGGTTGAAAAGGTATGGAGATAGGATGCATCCCTGGCGTACGCCCTTCCCAATTTTGAACCATGCAGTGTTCCCTTGCTCTGTTCTGACGACTGCCTCCTGGTCCAAGTATAAGTTTTGCATTAGAACGATCAAGTGTTCTGGGATTCCCATTCTTCTCAGAGTCAGCCACAGTTTGTTATGATCTACACAGTCAAATGCCTTTGCATAGTCAATGAAACACAGATAGACATTCCTCTGGTATTCCCTGCTTTCAGCCAAGATCCATCTAACATCAGCTACAATATCTCTAGTACCACGACCCCAACCTCTATGTAACTTATATTCAGCAACAAAGTACTTTCATAGGCAACACCTGGTTTAATTGAAGCTACAGCTATTCTAACACTAGTAATAATAAGTTAGGAAGATTGTATTTATAGATATTTGAAACTCCTAGGATTTAAATATTTTGCCCCATTTCACATGACGAGCACAAGCTCAATATGTGAAGCCAGTTTCAAAAGCAGCCCATTAAGTTTATTATACTGCATCCACTCTACAGGCTGAAAGGCACAATGTGTAAGATTATTTTATACATGTTGATGTTTGGTGTTGTTGAGTGCAACTCATAGTGACCCTATGGACAACAGATCTGAGCACAGTCCTATTCTGCACCATTGTAACCAGAGGAAACTAAAAACCAAAGAAGTTAGGCAATCTGTCCAAGATCCTGTGGCCAGTAATAGGGCCTGGAGTAGAATCTTATCTCATGATCCTCATCTCAGGGGATTTTCTGTGTATGTTATCTACAACAGGGATTTCCTACCCTAAAGTGTAAGTACATACAAAATGCTGTACAATGTTGTGGTAAGAGATCAAAGGTTTTAAGACGGGCTCAAATGATATACTAAAAAGAACAGCTGGTATGTAACATTTTTATTTTCACCCTCACCTGATGGATTTCCAGTCTTGGTTTACTTTCCAGAAGGACAGTGATCATTCTAAAAGACATTAAGATTTCACATGTCTTAAAAGCTAGGAAGCGGCTCTGAGATAATTAAGAATATTTTGAGTCACTGCTTAGCTTTATTATGAACTGGATGGGGCTGGAAAGATCTTTGAACTACTGGGTCTTCGCAGTCTCATCAATAAAAGACAGTATTGCCTCCACACAAGGCTGTCATAATGCTAATAAAGTGAATGATATTCAGTAGATATCCATTAAATATAATTTGAAGGTATAAATCCTAATCTTTAAAGAAAAGGAATTCTTGTTCTAAGCCCTATACTTTTAAATTTTGATAGAAAGTAGAAAGTAGTTTTTCTGTTATTTTTATACCCTTTACTCAAGTTACTGAGACATTTTAGGGTAAGAGACAATAAAGACTGCTAAGAAAATGAGAGCTTATGCATATAAAGAACACTGGACTAGGGAGCTATGGTGGCCTAGTAGCAAGATGCTGTGCTGCAATCCTGAAGGCACATGGTCTGGATCTGCCAAATACTCTGCTTTAGAAGGAGGGGCAATCTCCTCCTGTGCCAGGTGGATCTGACTCAATGGTACACAACAAGAGAGAGGGAAGGAGGGAGGGAGAAAGGGAGGAAGGAAGAATATAGCACTTGGCTTTATGAATTCTTGTTCTAGTTATCTGCCCATGAGAGGGCTCAATTTTCGGCGATCCTATTTACACAGGGTCAGTTAAGATTCACAGAGCTTTTATCAGCTGATTTTCAGAAGATCAACAGGCCTTTCTTCCGAGTCAGTATCTTAGTCCAGACGTGCTGCTAAAACATATTCAGTATCATAGAAATGTACATACCTCCAATGACAGAGGCCTGGGTACACTGGCCAGGAACTAAATCCAAATCTCCCGCATAAAAGGCAAAAATCCTACCACTGAACTGCCTAAAACCACGTGCCACTGACTCAACTCCAATTCATGGCATCTCCATGTGTATAAGAGCAGGACTATGCTCCACAGGGCTCTCAACAGCTTATTTTTGGTAACCAGCATAAGGTCTTTCTTCTGAGGTACCTGTGGGCAGATTCAAACACCCAACCTTTTGGCTGCAGCTGAAACTGCTAAAACTTTACACAACCGAACAGATGAGTGATAAATACTAGTTACTTCTTTTCTCTACATTATCCTCAAACTATTCACTACTACATCATGTTCTAATTTTTCCATTGCTATTCTTGGCTCTTACTGAACTGGATCATTACAGATTTTATACACACACACACACAACACTCATCTTTCTTTCCCCTACAAAAAATGTCTTATTTCCTTGATTTCAATGTTAGTCTCCAGGCCACTGGTTAAGGCAACAGCATGGCACAGCCTGTTTTGCTACACATGGTGGACCCCACTTTACCTGTAATTTTTGAGATTAAAGATTATGCAGATGTTTAAAAAATTATGCAGATCTTTAAAAAAATACCAAGACGACTTACACTCTGATTTGACGAATAGGTCCATATTTCCCAAATATGTCATACATTTCTTCAGCTGTGATTTTGTAAGGCAAATTTCTTATATACAAAATCCGGTTTACTTCAGGTGGAAGGCGAATCTAAAATGAGAGATATTGTATTAAAATCAGGAGCAGAAAGGCTATCATATAGGGGGAAAAGATCTTAGTAATATAAAAGCAAAATATCAAGTTTAAGACTGTGTGTATCATGTAGATGGCATGTTCTCCAGAAAGAAACCAAGTGCTGGTTCTAGAGAAAACTACTGGTATGACACTGCTATAAGAACGGTGCATGCATTGACAGAACTGCCAGAAGCTCAAGCTGGATTTAGCAAAGTCCATGGAATCAGGGATATTGCTACTGATGGCAGATGGATCTTGGCAGAAAATATCAGAAGAAAACCTATTTGTATTTTATTGATTTTGCAAAGGTATTTGACTGTGTAGATAAAAAACTATGGTTAACATTTAGAACAATGTGAATCCCAGAGCATCTACTCATGCTATTATAAAACCTGTATCTAGACCAAGAGGCTATTGCCCAGACTAAGGAAGAGAACATGTTGTGTACCGTCATGTTAGAAGCAACACTTGGTGGCTTAGCAGTAGGGAACTGTGCTGCCACTGCAGAGGTATGTGGTTTGAATCCACCAGTTACTCCACAGAAGAAAGATGGACAGTCTTCTCCTGTGCTATTTACTGCCTCTGAAAACCTGCTGAAGAGTTATCTATGGATTGATTCTGACTCATAGCAGCCTTATAGGATTAAGCAGAAATGCCTCATTGGGTTTCCCAAGCTCTAACTTTACGGAAAGAGATAACCATATTTTTTATTCATTAAGACTTTTTAAAAGCCATGCTCAATCCCCATCATATTTACTTAGCTTTTCTTGAGACTTCTGATACTGTTGATTAGACCTTCTTTCAACAGTATATTTTCCTGGTTTTCTCTTCTCCCTGGCTATGTCTTATCAATTGCCTTTGGAATAAAAATAGGCTCTTGCACAGAGCTTTATTTTTAGACTTCTTTTCTTGACTCTTTGTATATTTTTCTTAACTCTTTACATTCCCTTTTACTGGTCTTTTAAATCATATACATAGTATTCACAGTAAGCTAATTTAGTCTTACATGTGTATCTCCAGTTTAGATTTCATTCCTGCACTTCAGATTAACATATTCAATTAGATACAGAAGATTTGCTCAATAATTGTTTTCTATTTAAAAGTTATTAGTGGTGGTGGCAATGGTAAACAAGTACACTAAAGGTTTAGATATCACAAAAATGTTAAGTTCAAACGGATAATCAATACTGCCACGCAATCCAAATCCATTTTTCTAGTAGAATTGCTTTCTCACTCTTTAAGACACTGTCAAAGATATCCTGTCTTCAAAACTTGAGTGTCACCACTGCTTCCAAAAGGGATTTGGAACCACGGTGGATTAACACCGTGACTGCAGCAATAGCCTTGAGTGTGCAGGGCAGGTTTCGGATCTGTTGTTCATAGGGTCGCTATGAGTCGTTCTTGACTAGACAGCAGCTAACAACAACCATCCATGATCCCAATTTTTTTGTACTTCTTACTTATATGAAAACTCATGAAAAGAGAGATTTGCTCCATTTCCTTAATTTCTATTCTCTTGCAACCAAGTTATCATCCACATTCACGGAAAGGTTCCTATCATCAGTATCACCACATTTTTTCATGTCACCATAGCCATATCCAGTGTTCAGTTACCTGTCACCATCACTATTTCTTTCTTGTGACATTTTTCTTTGGAATGAAAGAATCAGTAGGGGAAGGTTTTCTGCTTTATTCACTGTTGTACTGCCAAGACCTAAACGGTGCACATGTACTAGGTGCAAGAAATATAAATGATGAATTGTTTCTTGTAGTACAAGTCGGCTACACAAAGCGTTCAATAAATAAATGATACCTTCGCTTCAGTCGCCTGTGAAGCATTATTTATTAGTGATTTGTTTACGCTGTCCAATTTTAGGCTTAGAATAAGATCCTGACTCTTCAGGGAGTTTTTAGAGGCTGTAAGTCACACAAGAGGAGACTGCTCATCTTTCTCCCGTGAAGCAGCAGGTGGATTCGAAACTCCTGGCTCAGGGTTGGCAGCGCAACATTAGGCCACGAGAGCTTCCTAAGATCCTGAGGCCAGATCCTAAATACAGGTCAAGCAACAAAGGCTGCAGGGCCCATATACTAATACTAAGGATAGAGACTAAAGAAACTTTCAAACAGAGTAGGAGCGGAAGTGTGGCCCAAGAATACCCCTGAGGAGGGGAATTCGGGGCTTCCCCGCTCAGGGGACAGATAAGCAAAGATGCACTAGGCTGAAAAAGTCCTTCTCCGCAGAAGGACCTGTTTGTTACTCACGTTCGCCCTCTTGGCAGCTTGCATCGCCATCTTGGCAAGCTGATGAAGTTACCGCACCGAATATTAGAATCCTCCGGACTCCTCCGGAGAGCGCTCCACTTCGAGCGCAAAGGTGTCAGAAGAACATCAACATCCACACTCCGCCGGAAGCTGTTGAAATTCACGCTAAAACGACGAGACGCGATGACGTCCTATCCGTTCCCTTTCGAAAAGTCTCCCCGCCCAAATGGATCAGGGAAAAACCGGAAGGTGAAAGAAGAGAGTCAAAGACATTTCCGGGTCCTGGACCGGAAGGGCGGGGCCTCTGTTTTAAAGGGGGAGGGGTTCCGGTCGGGAGCCAGTAAATGGAGGGGCGGAGTCTGGGGCGAGTGTTCAGAGGTTGTGTAGAGTCCAGTTGTTTTTAAGAAAAGGGCGGGGCTTTGTGTGAAGCCCCGGGTTGTTGGACTTGCTCTCACCTTGGCAGTCAGGCAATGCAGCAGCTTGTGGCGGATTGCTTAGAGACCAATGCCTTCTTTTAGACCCCAGCCTGTGATGGTCACTAAACCAAGTAAAGCATCGCCTCGACCAGCTTCTCCTCCTCGCTATGACAGCCTTTCCAACTCCCACCTCACCCCTGCCCATCAGCCCTAGTGTGCCAGTGAGGAAGCAGCACAACGCACTTCAATTCCACGCTCCCTTTATTTTTTTAGACCTGTTTAACATCGACCTATTCACCAGGTCGAGAAAAGGTAGTGATTTAGCAGTTGGTCCGGAAGTAGCAGCACATAATCTTGTGCCTGTGAATTTTCAAGTTTACAACGTCTGAGTGATCGTGTCCTCTAGTGTCCCTTCTGTTGTATCTAAGGCAGCTTCAGAACGATTTTGCCCACGTTGCTATTAGTTTCCATGTATATATGGGCCTCTTGGACTTCGGCCACCGGGTAGACTCTGTCCACAACAGGCAGTAAACGTTGAGGATCCTCCGAGGAGAAATGAGGCAGAACTTGTTCCGTGAAAGTCTTCACCAGCATTTGCTTGTACTGAAATAAAAACACAATCCCATCAGGCTGGAAAGAAGCCTTACTCTGCAACTTCCCATTCTGCTCAGCCTATCTCCTCTCTTTGAAATGAAGACATATTTGAAAAAGCAAAAAGGGGAACCTTCTTAATTTCCTAGCATTTATGTGTCTGCTCCCAAATATGTAAACCTCTGTCCTGTACATGATAAAGATGGAAGCGGGGAGTAAAATATGTCAGTTAATAGCAAGGGATCTGTTTTTAGGATTGCAGAGTAGCATCTTACCACTAGGGCACCAGAGCTCCCTGAGAAAATTGTTTTTAAATAAAAGCTTCAAGCAAAAGGAACCCACAGACAGGGTTTACATAGGTTCTGTGTAAAAAGATGCTTGAAAGCCTAGCGGTAAGGACCTGTGCTGCCAACCCAAAGACACACAGTTTAAATCCACCAGGTACTCCACAAAAGAAAGCTGGGCAATCTCCAGTGTGATTTATAGCCTCTGAAAAACTCACTACAGGATCAGTTTGAGTTGCAGGCAACACAATATCTAATAGTTGTGAAACCCATACTATGAAATATTGCCAAAGGTAATGTCTCCTAGAATGTTCCACATTTCTATAACATAATAATATCTGGAAGCAGGGGTGGCATCCATTTCCTAAATAACAGGACTCAGGAAGCTCTATGAATTCTGATAAATGTTGATAGTTGTAGAGGGGCTTCAGACCTTTTGTTCATAGGGTCACTATGAGTCTTGCTTGACTTGAAGGCAATCAACAACAACAACAACAATACTTTTTTAGCTCACTAAAGAGTGTGCCTTTGGAAAAAAAAAGAGAATATGTTCAAACCTATTAATACCAAATAAAGTATATATTTTCGGCGAGCTCTGGTGGCCTAGTGGCAGGAAACTGCACTGTAATCCCAGAAGTGCACGGTTCAAATCCACCAGAAGCTCTCCTGAAGAAGGAGGAACAGTCGCCTCCTGTACCAGTCAGATCCAATTTGACGGTACACGCATATAAACAAAAAAAAAAAAAAAAAAGGTATATATTTTCTCAAAAAAAAAGAAAAAGAGTGGCCCTTTGAAAACACTCAACACTTTGTTCATCCCATCAGAAAATTTAGATTCTATAAGAAGTGTTGTTGTTGTTGCTGGGTGCCATCGAGTTGTTTGCAACTCATAGCGACCCTATGTACAATAGCCCTGAAACCTGCCCTATCATTGCTAACTTAACTGCCTCTGACACACTTACCCTCATTGCCTCAGTCATTGAATCACTATATCTCATCGGTGGTCTTCCTTTTTCTCTGCCCCTCCAACCTTCCAAGCATGATGTCCTTCTCTAAGGAGTGGTCCCTCCTTGAACATGCCTAAACATGTCAGGCAAAGCCTAAGAATCTTTGCCTCTAAGGAACAGTCTGGTTTCACGCTTTCTAGGATGAACCTGTTTGTTCTCCTGGCATTCCATGGTACGTTCAACATTATTCTCCAGCACCACAGCTTGGAGGCATCAGTTCTCTTTCTATTATCCCTAGTCATTGTCCAGCTCTCTGACACACAGAAAGCAATAAGAAATATTATCCACTCTTTTTTTTTTCAACCTGCTGAGGCTTCTGTAGACCAACCCTAATTTGTTTTCAGAAACTGAAATGCATATATATATGCACAGTGGGGACAGGTTTCCACATAAGCTTCTTAATGTAAGATACAACAGAGTTTCCTCCATTATGTAAATGAAACCATATTGTCTTTTCGCTCACCTTTTTGTCTCTAGATCTTAGCAGGCTAGTAATTAGACTTCCTCGTTTAAAGAGCAGTTTTGATAACAGAGGTCCACTGATGTTAGCTCCCCCCATCAGACCATAGAGAATCCAGCGACCATCAAGAGCCAGGCAGTTGACATTCTTCTCCCAATAGGATCCACCAATGCAGTCTAGAATCAGATTGGCTCCAGCACCTTTCACGTGAAACACAGATTTGTGAAGCCGGTGAGGCTCAGAAAATTTGGTATAAAGTAAAACTAAGTGGTAAATTTGTGGACATCCAGGTATAAATAAGTACACATGCAAGGGACAAATTTATTGGTTGGACTTAGCAATAGTGCTAATGAAAAAAACAAACACTGTTGTAAATGGAGTTGAAGTGGTTGATTCTATTTATGGCAGGTGCAGTTTATCATTCATGATCGCTTGTCACAAGAGGTGAGTAAAGAGGAAATGGGGTGACAGAATGACCTGGTGTCTCCCCTTACCATCAGTATATACTTTACCATATGTATCATTTGTACTAGCACCCAGGTATGAGTAAGAACACCCATAGGGATGGTCTATCCTGGTTACCAGTTAGCAGGTGAGTAGCTATATCTAAGTTATGAGCTAGTATTTGCATTGGTTTTGTCTACTAATATGAAAAATTGAAAAGAGTGAGCCAAAAAATAGACATTGCTTCAGAATGTAGAAGCACACACATTTACTCACTCATTTATCTCTTTCCACCCCAAGCCTATTAAGTTTAGCTCCAGACTGGTTTGTGCCTCAAGCCTCCTAGAAACTGTGTAGTAACTAACTGGGAAACAAGACACCATGGATAATTCTAAGCCAATTCCTTGGTCTTATTCAATTTCTAAAACATGTATAAATTATGTAACTTGCAAGAATGCACACGGAAATGATCTCAGTCCTAAATACTGACATCCTATCTCTAATGGTCAAACTCTAGAGGACCAGAATGTGACCAGGCCAGTTATGCAGTCAGCAGAGACAAGACTATGGAGAGCATTGGTAACCTTGAGTCTGTTGAGGATTTATTTAGTCATCTCTGATATTCCTGAGCTGCAGAAGCATTTGTTTACCTTTGGTGAATTTTAGTGTTGCTTCAGAAAAGTCCTCTTCTTTATAATTGAATCCAGCAGCTGCTCCAAGCTTTTCTGCCATCTGAAGCTTGTGCTGCGAGCCAGCTGTGACCAGAGGAATAGCTCCAGCCATCCGAGTGAGCTGAATGGCAGCTGTGCCCACACCACTTGATCCTGCGTGGATTAGCACAAAGTCTCCGGCTTGAACCTTCCCTAGGACAGAAAGGAAAGGCACAATTCTCTTTATTTTGCAACTGACATACATTTTCCACACAGGCATAGTCTACTATGATCATCTGGCCTCAGACCACCAAGTGCCAAATATCTTGTTCACTTAATTTCTTCTCCCCCTAAGGTCTCTCTCTTTTTTTGCTGTGGTTTTATTGTCTCTAATCTCTTCTTTCTATGGGAAATAATATCCTAAAACAGAGTTATTAGTAGGTATATCCATTACCTCTGTTTTACCTTTGAAATAACACCAAAATGTACAACTCTGATATCTATATACACACATGCACCCGTCAGTAAATACAAACGACCTTGTTCCTATCACCTCCTAATGCCAGTCCCTCCTCTGAAAGTAGCCTCTAGTTGTTCTCATTCACCCATTTATCTCGATACACCCTAAGTCCTGCTCTTTAAGAACCTTCTTCGCTATCCTTGCCCAGACTGACTTTCCCATCTTGAGCTTTCATTATTGGTAAAGACAAGATCACTCTAACTATAGTTAGCTGATAGTTCCTTGTGAAATGCCTGTGTATATTTCTCTTCTTCCTAGTTACACTGAGATTCCTGAGCGTAAAGCACCAAGCCTCCTCAGGCTCCCTCATGTGAACTTGTGACAGGTCTCCATAGACTTGGGAAGAAGAAATGAGTCAATAGAATGACAATTTATGGGACATTATGCTTGGAAAAGTGCAGAACAGGTGAAGGAAAGGAAGACCCTCAACAAGGATTAACAATGATTGCGGCAATGGGCTTACACACAAAGGAGACTGAGAGGATGGCATAGGATTTGGAGAGACAATACCAGGCAACTCATTGTTCTGGAAAGCTCCTTGAGCCTGGAGCCAGTGAACTGGATTTAGGAGCCAGGATCTATTTCTATTAAACTGTGATCTTTAGCTAATCAATAACTTGGCTTCTGGGCACTTCCATTTTTTATCTATCAAATGAGCAAAAGTATTTTTTTATGCATGCATGCAAAAATTAGCATTTAGTAAAAGTTCAATAAATATGTCCTCTTAGATTTGCAAAAACCTGAAAGAGAATGGCATTGTTCTAGATCTGGGTCCAAAAGAGCAGCTCAGCTGACTTGTAGAAGCTGAGACTACTACTGTATCTATAGTGCGATGATGCATTATCTAAGGCCTGGCAGCCCTTATATCTCCTAGCCATGATTTTTCAGCCTCAGCATCAAGCAACTGCTAGTGTGGCTTGAGGATTTAATTCTACTGGTGGTACTGCTCAGGCCCAAGCATCTGTAGAGACTTCTGGGATGTAAGGAGTTTGAGTTATGGAGGAATTAAATCTTAAGGGATTGAGCCTGGGAGGTTCCTTACCCAAGAAATGTAACAGCTGGAAGGCAGTCAGCCAAGTCTCTGGGATGGCTGCAGCCTGGGACAGTGACAGTCCTGCCGGGATAGGCATGAGGAGTCCTTCAGGGACAGTGACATACTGAGCCTGGCCCCCACCAGGCAACAGAGCCATTGCTGCATCTCCAGGCTTCCAGTGCCCCTGGCAGCCGGGTCCCAGCTCAGCCACATGTCCAGATGCCTCAAGTCCTAAAATGCTGCTGGCCCCTGGAGGTGGGGCATACTGGCCTCTTCTCTGCAGAGGGGAACACACAAATTAGTGTTGAGCAAACTCAGAAACCTGTACATCACCATCCTTGACTCTCATCTAGTGTCCCCTCTTTTTCTCAAAATAAAGATCAGCTTTGGAAAGACAGAGAAAGACTGTAGAGGTAATTTGTCTTATGCAAATAAGAGATTCCAGATCACTAATCATTGGATGTCATAGCTGATTTGTCTTTTAGCTCTTTATCTAATCCAAGCCTTATTTTACAAATGAGGAAACCAAGATCTGGGCAAGAAAAGACTTTGTCCACATACATAATGTAAATTAGTAGCAGGATTGGAAACAAAAATTGGAACTCAAACAATTCCCTCAATATATCTAGATCTATTTCAAGTGCCAGGCTGTGCTAGGGACTAACCCAACCTTTGAAGCTTGTGACCCTCTAGATTTGCATCAGATTCATTTGAGGAGTTTTTTCCAAGCACACTGGGTGACACCTGGTCATGTTTCATTTGAGAACAAAGCGAGTACTCCGGGTGGCTCTGATGCACTTGTCTGTATCGACCCAATCAACTACAGCACGTTGATTTCAGTGGGTCAAACAGCTGAAGAAGACACTTGGTCACTGCACCTGCTAGCTCAGGCACACTTAGTGGAAAGAGTGTAAACTTTGGAACCACAAAGACACTGGAATGAACCACAGTTCCTCAGAATAAAAGCACCGTGGCCTTGGATATATTCTTTAACTTCTCTGAGGCACGGAGGTTCTGTTTGTTACAAATACCAATAGTGGACATGGTTGCTGTGTAAAACAAACATACAGCCTGTGCAGTGCAGTTTGTAAGAGTATGTACATCTTCAATAAAGGGTAGTTTCCATTTTCCTAGGCCTTGATAGAGCACAAATTAACACTGGATTTATTCTGATTTGAAATACCCATAGCGTTTTGTTTTGTAGGGCATAAGGAAGCAAGATTGTTTTACCTCTAAGAACTCCCAACACGCGCACACATCCAGATGAGTTAATTGGCAGGGCCCTATACTATTCCTTCACATTGTTTCATCTGCCGGGTAAAGTTTATCCAAGGATGACCATGAGGGACACTCTGGGGTTCCACCCTGCACCAGCCACACCTGGCTCCAGGGTACCTGGAGTAGATCCGCTCGGTTCAGGGCGCTGGCCGCCACCTTGAGCAGGACTTCACCCTCTTCTGGGGTCGGCTTGGCCACCTCCTTTAGGTAAAGCTTTTCGGGCCCTCCTGGCTTGTCGAAGTGCACCGCTAACATACTATATTTTCTGAGGACACAGGTTAGAAAAAGGGAGGGAGCCCTGAGGTTCTTGCAGAAGCCCAGCTGCCAAGCTGACATTCCGGCGCCCTCTGCAGGCCAGCCAGCCTCCCTTTGTTGTTCTCAACAAACTGGCTTCGGCCCCGCGTCCTTCCTTGTGGGGTCTCCTGCCTGGTCCAGACCGATCCCACACAAAGTCAGAGTCTGGATAGGGGTGAATGGCAATGGCTGTATGATATAGCAGAACAGGAAAAGATTGAAGATCAATAGGTAAATTACACTCCATCTCAGTTGGGGACCTCCTCCTCCGCCCACCCAAGACCCCAGATCATTTGTATTTGAGTGCGTTCATTTACTTACAAGTGTTTGGGCTCCTCTCCGCTCTGTGCTGCTAAGTGGTCCCGGGCGCCCTGGAGTTACCTGTAGCAGAACCCCAGAGCGCTGAGACTTCCTGCAGGCGAGGTAGAATGGACTGCTGGACTCAGGGCAGCTCGAGGGGTGGGGCTGATGAGAAAGAGCCTTCCCCTTTCCCCCTGTTCCTTCTCCTTTTAAAATGTAAAGCTTCTTGTTAGTTGACATGCAAATAGGATTTTCTTTTTAATCTTAAAACTGCTTTTTCTCTCAGCTTTACAAGGAACACTTACAGCCTTCAAGGCAGGGGGATAAAACCTTCCTTGGGATGGTCCCTTTTCCAGTCACAGCCCAGGCTTTTAGCTATTTACTTTCTAGGTCTGGCATCCCGCCCTTTGGGCAAGCATCTGGAGTGTAAGAAACAAGGAGCTGCTGAAGAAGTTGGTTGCTGAGGGATTAGAGTGAGAGGAGAAATAGATGTTACAATTCTTCTGACATTCCTGGAGAACAGAAAACAACATCTGGATAAATGGGAATGTTTGGAAGAGATGCAGCAATAGACTAAATTGTCAATTTAATACTAACTCAACTGAGAAATAGCTCAACTAAATGACCCATAATCAATAAAAGCCAACGTTGAAAAAATTTGATAGTAATGAAATTTTGCATTTTTTTCTTTTTAAAAAATTATTATTAATTTCAATGAAAATTTACAGAGACTTTGGATTTCCATTCATTCATTGTTGCAATTTTCTCCCCTACCAACCCTCCCCCCTAGTACACTACACTTTTGGAAAAGTAAAAGAAAAATTCTTTCATTGTTTTACAATCCCTCACCCCAGGTCCATTCCACTATACAGCCTTCACTCTGGACTCCTGTCATTACAAAAATACCTAATAATTTTCCCTCTTTTTTAATTTTTTAAAATATTTTTATTGGGAAAAACATATTGGGGGTACAAGGAGGTGAGGGTTGGGGGCAGAAGGGTGAGGATGGGGCAGGATGCAGTTGCAGAGCTGCACAGTTTGGTCGGTGGGGGGAGCAGGTGAAGGAAATGAGGGTCCAGTGGGGACCAGATGCTGCAGAGGAATGACAAGCATTTTCCAATAGTAATTAAACCAACTGTCTTATTGATTTGGGAATTGAATGCCGACTCTCTGGCTTCTTCATGCTGAACAAGGGCATAGATATAAAGGGGGGAAGGGAGGACACTTTATCACCTTACTGGTGGTCTTGGGTTACAGCTGCTTGCCTTCTTGCTCCTGAGGGCCGCGACGGTTCACCCCGAGCCAGGGGCCAAGCACAGCCCACCCCGGGCAGAAGGCCACGACAGCTCGCCCCGGGCCGAGGGCCGAGGGCAGCCCGCCCCGGGCAGAGGGCCGCTACGGCTGAAGTAGTCTTTTTTAAAACAGAAGGAGAAAAAGTGTGTGTGTGTGTGTACCATCAAATTGGATCTGACTGGTACAGGAGACTGCCCCTCCTTCTCCAGCAGAGCATGAAGTAGAGTCTGGGTTCCCCCCCCCCCCAGGCCCCCAGGTGCCTGTCGGGGCCTGGGTTTCAGCTGTCCACACCACAGCAGTGGGCAACAAGCTTAAAGCCCCTGATGGCTCTGGGCGCTGACTCTCACCAGTGGCTATGGATGAAGTCACAGGCAATTTTCAGCCAGCACCAGAATAATTTTCCCTCTTAAACAGTTTTCTCCCTCATCTGTTTCAGTGCAGTATACATTATTGAACCCATCCTTCTCAATCTCCTCCCAACCCAGATGTCAGTCCTGCTTTACAACAGTGGCACCTGGCAGTATTTTTCCTTTTATGACTGAGATACTTCACTCACATAATGTCCTCCAGGGTCACCCATTTTGAATACTATTGCATGAGTTCCTTGTTTTTCAATGCAGCATAGTATTCCATTGCGTGGATATACCACAACTTCTCTATCCATTAATTTGTTGATGGGCACCTGGGTTGTTTCCAACTCCTTGCTATTGTGAACAAAGCCATGATAAGCATGGGTGTGCATGTATCTGCTTGGGTGGCAGTTATGGTCTCTTTGGGGTATATTCCCAGTAGTGGAATTGCTGGGTCAAATTGTATCTCTATTTGCAACTATTTGAGAAAACTCCATACTGCCTTACACAGTGGTTGCACCATTTTTACATTCCCACTGGAATAAGAGTTCCAGTTTCTCCACAACCTCGCCAGCAATTGTTGCTTGCTGTTATGTTAAATTTTGCTATTCTGACTGGGGTAAAATGATATCTCATAGTTGTTTTGATTTGCATCTCTCTTAGAGCTAGGGATTTTGAACATTTGTTCATGTGCTTTTTAGTCATCTGCATGTCTTCTTCAGCGAAGTGTCTGTTCATATCCTGTGCCTGTTTTTCTATTGGATTATTCACCTTTATCTTGTTGTGGTGCTCAAGTATTTTATAAGTTCTGGATATAAGTCCCTTATCTGATATGTAATTACCAACTACTTTTTCTCCATCTGTGGCTTCCCTTTTTACCCTGGTGGAGAAGTTTTTGGATGTGCATAGGGATTTGAGTCTTGGCTTCCCTTTTTACCCTGGTGGAGAAGTTTTTGGATGTGCATAGGGATTTGAGTCTTGGATGATCCCATTCATCTATTTTATCTTCTCCTGGTTGTAGGTTTTTCAGGATACTTGGAAGACTGTTTATGTTGTGGATTAGGACTTTTAGTATTCTTCCAAGCTTTTCTTTCTTTTTTTTTTTTTTGGCGCTGTAGAACCAAACTTTATTTTGGAAACTAAACAATATGGAGGGTCATTGATTGCAAAATGTACCCCCACAATGGTTCTTTCTGGGATCTCTTTTTGGGATGCAGAAATGAACATAGGAAATGTTAGAAAGTCAGAACACAGGGCAGATGAGGAGAGACAGAGGATGTTCTAGCCACAAGGCCAACAAACACATCCATGTTCAAAGAGAAGCAAACCAAAGGAGAAAGAATTTCATACAACACAGTATAAAAAAACCCAAAACACAAAAACCCACAAAAAACAAATCTACACTAAATGCAAACAGGTGGCAATTAAGTCCATAACATACTGTGACCGACCGTCCTTTCAGCATCAATCAGGTTTCTTCTCATCAGTTATATCAAGGTTATTTACAGATGTGGCGACTTCCCTAAGTCTCTCACGGAAGTGTAAACAGGTTCAATCATTGGTTTCAGGATCTGTCTGTGCCATGTAGGCATCCAACTCGGCGTCCAAGTGTCCCTTTGTTTTGGACATGTAGGCATCCAGCTGGTTGTCGAGCTGCTCCTTGGTGAGTACAGGGCGAGAAAGGGCACCTCTCCCTCGTCCACGGCCTCGTCCACGTCCTCCAAAGCTCCCTCTTCCCCGACCTATCATACCCCGACCTCGGAGTGACATCCCGCCCCTAAGCAAGGTTCTTGTCGCTCGTCCTCCACGTAGTCCTCCTCTGGGTAAGCCTCTCTGGATTATCGGCAGGCCTCGTCCTCCGATGGCTCCTCTGGCCAGGGCCCCTATGGGTCGGCCTAACCGTGCCTGGATGTTACTCTTACCCAGGCGCTGCTTTAAGCTCTTCTGCTTAAGCTTTAATGCTGCCTGGACAGAGGGTCTCTTCTCCATCTGCTGGGCCAGTCTTCTTCTGTTTCTGGCACTGGCTAGCAGCTGTTGTTGCTGCATCAAAGCTCGAAGATTCACTGGCATCGGCTGTTTGTTCTTCAGCATATTAGTAAAGCGCTCATTTAGAGACTTCTTGGTGGTGCTTTTTAGCACAAATTTCGGAGCTGACTGTGCAGCCATCTTCAAATCCCGAGAATCAAAGGAAACGGACGCCAGTGCTTCTCCTGTGGCTGCCACCATGGCTGCGGCAGGCGGGCCGGGGCCGGCCGAACCCAAATTCACGGTGGGGGGAGGCTCGGGGTAATCTGGTGGGCGGTTGGTGAGATGCGTAAGCGATAAACGGCTAGGCTTTGTTCAGTTTCTGTTGACTCTTTTGTCTGGTCAGTCCGCTTGTTCACCCAGCGTGCCCTTTGCTTCCTTTCGGACACGACAGCTGCCACCTCCCGCTCGATCAAGCTTTTCTTTAATGAAGCTTATAGCCCTTGGTTTTAGTCCTAGGTCCATGATCCACCTCGAGTTCGTGTTTGTATATGGAGTGAGGTGTGGATTTTGCTTGAGTCTTTTGCAGATACTTTTCCAATTTTGCCAACACCATTTGTTAAAAAGGCTGTCGTTTCCCTACGTAACTGATTTCATCTTCTTGTCAAAAATCAGTTGAACATAGATAGATGGGCTGACATTTTGTATTTTTAAGTGGGTAAAGTAAACATTACCGTTTATATAGAAGAATAAGTGGCCAATGAAATATATACAAAGGTTATGATGAAAACTTACACAATCAGATGTCAGAAAATACTATAAATAATAGGGATAATAATAGTATAATACTTATGAGGAGTTTGCCCCACAAAAATAAAAACTCCAATATGTAAAAACATATGTCCAGAGATGTTTATCACAATACTGATCATAGTGACAAGAATCTAGAAACAAAGTAGATCCCCCTCGTTAGTAGAATGGCTAGAAAAGTGATAAATACTAAGCATGCATCTGAAAAATAAACTAAAGCTGTAGAAGCAGCTAAAGTGATTTCCATGAAGTATTT